AGCAATTACACCAAAGGGCATTCTGCAGAACCGGTAAACCGCAAGGTTGTCCTTGGTCAGGTGAGAATTCGTAGCATCCCTGAGCCAGAGAAAACGTGTCACATCGCGGTCTTCCTTCCGGATACGCAGTTGAAGAAACGCCTTCTCGATGTCAGCAACAATGGCAACGTTGTAGCACCGAAAGCGCAGGAGCATACCACAGAGGTTGGGCAGACGGATAGGGCCCCGGTGCATGCATTCGTTCAGGCTTTTCAACTGCTTCGTTGTCTTCGCCGAGGCATCGTAGACAATGCGTAGCTTCGTGGTCTGTTTCGACCGCGTTATAACTGGCTGATGGGGCAAATAGTGCTGTGGCGTGCCCATAGGCGGTGGGTTCGCGACAGGCTCGATGATCCCCAGGTCAACTTGCGATTGGATGACCTTGTCGTACTGCTGTCGGAGGTCGGAATCATTGGCTAAGCGACGGCACAACGTAGACAACCGGCCAAATGCGAGGCCATAGTTGGTTGGCAGGTCAGGTGGTTCCGATTTCCATGGCCAGGCCACTTCGTACCGGCCACCAGTGAACTGGATGTGGTCCTGGAAATGGCAGAGCGCCAGGTCATCAGCAGTGACGTCGGGGCAGTCGTGGATGCCAATCCGATCCAAATTCCACATCTCGGTCAGGTTGGGTGTGAGTGTCGACCGCGGCGTGGAATCCATTACTTGGAGCTGATGGGAGGCAAGGCGTACAGCGGTGTGACACAGCAGTGTGGATGTTTGGCTGGAGTCATCATGTGACGGAGCACAGCAGCCAGTTAGGATGTAACCCAGACGCGATGGGAGGAGCAACAGACCCGACGGCAACACGATCCGGTCCTGTTGAATAATGCTCCAGAAGTAATCCGTGCCGATTAACAGGTCAACGGATGCCTTCTCAGATGTGTCTGGAAGGTTGTCAGCCAGACTAGAAGATAGCGACTGCAGGAACTGTCGGTCTTGATCAGGAATCGCACTGCGATGGACAGGGTCGGTGATTTTTGGCAGAACATGGGCTGTCAGAGGGAGCAGGGAGCCATCTTGTAGTGCCAGCTCGAAGTCGACAACATTGGCCTGTAGTCGCTGCGGCCCACTACTGGCAAATGTGGACACGTGCAGATACTCCGTACACCGAACAGGAAGTCCAAGTGACTCCACGGCGGAACTTGTGAGAAAGGTACGTTGACTGCCGCTGTCAAGAAGTACACGAGCGGAAAGTGATTGCCCGCCATTGTGGAGTGTCACCTTGGCCGTCTGCAGGTAGACGTTAGCAGTGAGACACCGTGACCGGAAGCTACAGTGGTGGGGCTTCCCGGAGGATCTGAAGCGTGCTCTGGCTACTGACTACCGAGGGGAGGGCTGTGGACAGCAGCTTGAGTGGTATGCTGGCTAGCGAACAGTGTTGGACAAATAGACGCGTAGTGGCGGTTGGTGATCTGACAGTGGCGGCATGTCCGTGCCCGAGTGCAAGCAGCAGCTTGATGATCCTTGCCAAGACACCGGAAGCAGCGTTGTGTCTTGAGAAGCTGGGCCTTGCGGGTTTGCTCTGTGCCGTACGTCAGACAGTCATCATGACCGTGGTTACCACCGCAGTAGACGCAGGGTGAGCGAAATCCAGAGGACTTTTGTGATGCACTTGAGTGACGCAGCTGTGAAGGGGCCCGCGAGGTTGTTTGCTGTTGCGCTGCTGACACCAATAGAGCACTTCCGCTAGCAACATGATCAGATACAGCGGTCATCGGGTGGTCGGAAAAGCTGAAGTGTTGTTGGGCACGCTCATGCAGGGTGACGTACCGTTTGAGAGCCTGCATCAGTGTCTTGACATCCCACACCATTGAGGCTTCAGAAAGAGGACGCAACTCCTCCAGCTTGGTGGTCACCTCGAGGGGGAACTTCGACAGGATCTGCTGGCTGACCAGGTTCTGACCACGGAGGTTTTCGCCCTGTGCCTCCAGTTGTCTGAGGAGGTTGTGAACGGTCTCCTGCGTGACCTTGATAGACGCCAATTGGGAGGACGATGGAGGGAGTTGTTGCAGGTGTCGGTAGAGCTTGGTGACGATGACCTCCGGCTTCCCATACTCCTCCCTCAGGGCTTGCAGGGCGATGGGAAAGTTGTCGTTCGTGACCGCTAAGCCTGCAATCAAGCGGTTCGGTGGACCGCTTAACGCTGTGCGCAGATATGTGAACTTGGACACATCCGGAAGTGGCTGGGCGTCTACAGACGCAGAAAACATGTCCCAGAATGCGGGCCAGGCAAGTGTGTCACCATTGAAGGTGGGCACGGCCAGCTTCGGCAAGTGAATTGCTGTCACTGCTGGTTTGGCAGATGGTGGAGGAGGAGTGGCACTCGTGGCGGCACTACCCCCAGTTCGCACTGAGGTACCAGGCACCCTGGAAGAGGGTGATCGCTTCGGTTTACGAGATGTCCCGCCAGAAGACCGAGTGCCGGCGGAACTGGAACTGGACCAGTCGGAGTCACTGTCTGTATCTGATACGGGATCGGGTGTCTTGTGTCTCTAACCAAGAGACTGTGGGTTCACACGTAGAGTTTACATACAAGTTTATTCTACGGTTGCAAAGCAATAAGAAGCGTTGAGGTATAATTGTGCTAGAGGATATAGGAGTTGTATCCCGGGTGCGGGATGCGTTGGGTGTTGGGTGGCAGTACAATGAATTGCTATATAGAGTTTATGCCTAAGCGGTTGTGGTTTTAGGGTGGATCAATAGTACTTGCAATTAGATGAATACATGTCTGGTACATATGTTGTCCCTGCCCTTTAAATCCTCATGGATAGACTGCCCCTGTATCCGTAGGCGTGTTCAATGTTGCTGTTCTGCCATTCCTTCTTGTCGTTTTTCTTGTCTGAATTTTGGCTCCTAGTATTGCTGAGATGTTTGCGTCAGTCCGTGTTTCTTCCTTTCTGTGTGTGTCTTTGTGAGTTTTCGTAGCCCCATCGGCTGCGCGATGGTTTTCCGGACAACTCCTGTGCTGTCAGATGACTGGTCACCCGGTTCAGCTGCCGCGGTCTTCGCAGTAGCGTCGGTTTGCCTTGGCTTCGCACCAGGGCGAGGTGGTTGTTTTCCGGGGGCCCACGCCTGAAAGATGGCGGTTCCCTCTATGGGTGGGCCCAGTCTGTTTTCTTTCCACCCCTTTGCTTTGGCTTTTCCCCGTTGTCCGGAGTTACTAATGTATCCTACTGTTTTGGCCCTGCATATCTGCATGTGTATGTTGTTCACATTTTGATTTCTTTTTCTCCTGTCTGTCTTCTCGTTTTCTTTTCTTCTCTCCCATCCTCAGGAGAGGATGCATTTTTTTCATGTGGAAGTATGTTGTCCCTGCCCTTTTGGCACGTGTGTGCCCCTTTTGGCACGTTGGTGCGGACCGCGCGCGTACTGCGCCGGTTGGAGATTATCGTACATGCTCTTGTTGTTGTGCGCATGCTTGCATGCTTATCGTGCGCATTCTGGTTGTTTTGGGTGCCTTCTTCCTGAGACTCTCCTTGGAACAACAATGATAATCTGTCCTCTGAGTGTGGCGTACGTGTGATGTATGAATAAGAGAGTAATCAGAAGGGCTATCGTGCGAGGGATTAAAAAACCCCGACGACACATACACTACAATGGGAATGCGGAAGCGAACATTCGGAGACGGGACGACTGGAGTGGCTGGAGAGCCAGTAGCAGGGACAGGACTAACAGCAGTCACAGGAGAGCTCGCAGGAGCGGAAGGTGGACCCTTGGAGTGGACCACCACTGCTGATGGGCTGAAGGATACGCTGGTCAAGGCAGCGGATGGGGACGTCGTGGGTGAGGGCTGTGGGGCACTGGATCGACTCGAGTTGGCGATTGCCTCCAGTTCCGCATCTGCTGTGGCGAGTCCGGACGGGTTCTCCCTCTGTAGAACGGTACGTGCGTCCCTCAGGACTTCCAGGTCATCGTCGAACTCGAACTCCCACTTGTCGAGTTGCTCCAGGCGGTCCTCAACATCCGAGGAAGTCGCCTGTTCGGTCAGATCGCGGAGTCTAGCCTGTGTGGCATTGATTTCAGCTGCAAGGCGTTCAGCCTGCTGCCAATCTCGTAGCAGGTAGTGTGGTGATGGAGCGTCTTTGGCAAGCTCCCGGGTTGAATTGTGGCGAAGGCGTGTGAGTCGTCGCTTCGTGTTTGCCCTACACTTTACAAGCTGGGCGATAGTCTCCATCACTCTGGTCGGAATTTACTAAATAAACTGAGGAAAATCTCTGGTCACTAAAGCACCATGTCGAAAGATTAGAATTCCCAATCTCTCGATTTATCGACACAGGTCACAAGTCCGATCTCACCTCTACAGGTGGCACACATCATAGAACAAAGGAGTCTGTAGTAATCGCTCTTTCCAGAATAATACTAGAGAACAACAAAACTGAAAACCACTCGTGTCCAAGAAAACGCAGCATAACCCACCACCAAGGGAGAAGAAAAACACATTCGCAAAAGCGCGCCAAACTGTGCTGCATGCACGTGCCTTGACAAGTACATGTACAGTCATGCATACGTGGGCCAGAACAAGTCATACAAAGCACGGGAACGTGGGCATGGAACTAGCGTTTTGTACTGAAACAAGAACAGGCACAAACATGATACAAATCGCGCGACAAGGTCGCCGCGACAGAAGCGATGTCATAGAGCACTGTGTTATAGTACTACCACCCCGCATCATTCTATTTCCTATTTTTATTTTTCTCCTCAGCTTCTTCTTCATAAGCTGTTGACGAAGACTCCCTCGATTTAGGCTAAGGCCTGTGGAGAATCCATAAATACAAATACAAAACACCAACCACCACAACCACCGCCACCGCCATCACCACCGCCGCCGCCATCACCACCGCCGCCGCCACCACCGCCACCGCCACCGCCACCACCACCACCACCGCCACCACAAGCAACAACAGCCGCAATAACACCAACAGCAACCGCAACGACAAGAGCAATGACTATAAACATACTCTGACAGAAGGGTACTTGTGGGAAGCCTCCATTTGCCGTTCTGCACTCCCTTTCATACGTTGATGGGTTGCGGTAGAATCCTGATTTACAAGTGACATCGTACATTGTGTACTTGTTGAGGACCTGAGAACCAGTTCCAATTATGCTTGCATGATTCATAATAGATGGCAAATTACATACAGCTGCACAACCAGAAGAACAACACCAATCAGGGTCACAGACTCTTTTAAAGCGGTACAACAGTGGGGAGGCGAGAAATCAGAGGAGTCTGGGGAGACCCTCCCCCCGCCACCCAACCAGATAATCTTTTTGTCAAATATGGGCTCGGAATCAATTTAGAACAGTTTACACGATGGATATAAACACTAACTAGATGACTATAATATAGCGACAAGGCAACTAATTGCACTGTAAGCATTTCGCAGATGTCGACATGTATGAGTGAAATGTAGAACGATGGTCGCAAGGCACACAACGAAAAGAAAGGAGAGGATTTGTCCGGAACAGTTTCTTGTTACATTCATCAGTGAATCTACATAACAATGGAGTGGGGACTACTTGAAACAAATCTTCGCTCATGAGTCCACAAAGGACGAAAGAGTTCTGTCCGCAGATTGAGTATTTGGCTCCTGCTCTTGTAGAAGCCGAGCACTCTCGCGTGGGGTAGTGCCTTTGCTGTTTGCGTTATGCAGAGCTCACTGACTTGTCAGCCTTTGAGCACTCCGGCAAGGTATGTTCAGGCCTGGTTTAAATCTGGCTTTGGAAAATTTAGTTTCATTGCTATCAGGTTCATTTTCTCTGTGCTGCGCTGGTAAGTTCACAAAGGACGAAACTGTTCTTTCCGCAGATTGAGTGGAACAAATCGTTTATGTAAAAGAGAAAGACCAAGGAACTACAAGTTACGCTATACTGTCCACTAACACCACCAGTTACTAAACAATATATATAAATTTAACTTTGGCTCTCCATCTGAGTAAATCTTTTATGGACAAATATAAGTGAAAGAAGTGTAAAAAAGAGAAGAGCAAAACAAAAAGGTGATTATACTACATGTATTCGGTGGGGGACAGTTAGAGCAGCTAACAACGTGCATGTGTAAATCATCCACATCAGCAAAACAAAGCAAAACCTGAACAGACGGGAGGAACAGGGTATGCATAGAGGCACGCTACAGTCGCAGAACGAATTAGAAATTTATCCAATTTCATTCACCAGCTTTGGAATTTCTTCATCTTGGTCTCTTTGGAAAGGTACAGGCCTCCTTGTTCCAATAACCGCGACTTTATACACAACATGAGCAGCAGAACCGCCCTAATATATTTTCAGAGCTGCCCCATTGCGCCTGAGCAATATACTGTGCCCACATCCACAAATTTCATCAGTTCTGAAGTTTTACTCAACAGAGAACGGTGATTCAAAGTTCTGCAGATGTCTGAAGCTCAAGCGTTACATTACTTTTGTTCCCCACTACGCATGCGCCGTGCAACCTGTTGTGATCACAGGAGTGTGATTCCCACCTACTTATAAATGTGACATCATGTACATGTATGTGCTGTGTACATTATGCGTCATGGGTCTCTGTTTTATTATTCTGTGTTGTATGCATGTTTTGTGAGCGGATCTTTCATGTGATTGCTTAGTTCTGCGTGCTTACTGATGCGCAAGCGCGTGGGCACTGTTTTCGTACACTGTTTAGGTTTTTGGATTCGGATATTTGATTTGAGTTTGTTTTGGACAAGAACTGAAACTAGCACCAATGTTGTCTTGTCTGACCGAACCTAACATTTTGGCGCAGTGAACAGGATATACTAGTAGTTTGTTTTGGACAAGAACTGAAACTAGCACCAATGTTGTCTTGTCTGACCGAACCCAACATTTTGGCGCAGTGAACAGGATATACTAGTAGCTCAGCTCATGGCAGTCGTGACGACTCGCGAGATGGCAGCGAAGATAAAGGTGTCCGTCAAGCTCGATCTCGATCACGAGCGCGGCGCGGAACACTTCCAAACTTGGCTGAGCCAGCTGAGTATAAAATTTCAGCTCCACTAAGTGGCGGACAGGGAGTCGTACTCAAACTAGGGAGGTGACACGGCACAGAAATCCGTGTCACAGGGGTTGACTCGCACCCGTGACCCCTCGTTGTTATTTTTGGAATAGTTCAGTCCAGTCCAGTCCGAAAGGTCATACTCGGATCGACTCGCCTTCTGTACTTCACCTCCAAGCGTGCCGCATGGGTGTCTAGTTTTTGAAATTATTGAGGCAGCACATTTCGTTTACAGCCCATCACTCGCCAGTATTCTTTGAAAGCCTACCAGCAATTTTTTTAGCTCCTGCCATGTCCGAACTACTTGATAGCAGTGATGGCAACAGCAGCAGTTATGAAACGGCGTGTAGTGTTGCGGTAACTGTTCAGAACTTTTCAGAGTCGTATCCTAGGTTAATCCGAATACTAAAAATTGACCCAAATTGCACATAACACGAAGCTGGTTTTTGAAAATTGTAAGCCGTGTATCTGCCCCATTTCTTCTTAATGACTTGCACAATACACCAGTCTTCCTAAACAACACATTTATAGCAGGGGTTAAGTACCATATAAGAGAAGTACAGCCAGTGATTTTGTCATGTTGAAATACTACAATTTTGACGCAAATTACACATAACACGAAGCCAGGTTTTGAAAATTGTAAGTCGTGTATCTGCCCCATTTCTTCTTTATGACTCGCACAATGGTCCAGTCTGCCTAAATAACACATTTATAGCAGGGGTTATGTACCATATTAGAGAAGTACAGCCAATGATATTGTCATGTCTAAATACTACAATTTTGACACAAATTACACATAACACGAAGCTGGTTTTTGAAAATTGTAAGTCGTTTATCTGCCCCATTTCTTCTTTATGACTTGCACAATACACCAGTCTTCCTAAACAACACATTTATAGCAGGGGTTAAGTACCATATAAGAGAAGTACAGCCAGTGATATTGTCATGTCTAAATACTACAATTTTGACACAAATTACACATAACACGAAGCTGGTTTTTGAAAATTGTAAGTCGTGTATCTGCCCCATTTCTTCTTTATGACTTGCACAATACACCAGTCTTCCTAAATAACACATTTATAGCAGGGGTTAAGTACCATACAAGAGAGCTACATTGTACATCTAGTCATACTGTCATAAACAGCCAGCATTTTTCCTGCAGCAGTCACACCACCATCATCATTATTTCCAGGGAAATCCTCTTACATTGTCAGCTCCTACGTCGTTAGACACAATAGGGGGCTGTAGGACCGGCTCGTCAAAAATAGAGAACCTGAACAAGCGTGCTCGGGACGTCTGAGCAATCGTAGTATGCCTGAGCACTCCAATAAAAACTTGATCAATGGCAAAATCGTTCGCCACAGAAAAATCATACTTTGCGGGTCTTGCGTTGCACGCTTGGAGGTGAAGTACAGAAGGCGAGTCGATCCGAGTATGACCTTTCGGACTGGACTGGACTGAACTATTCCAAAAATAACAACGAGGGGTCACGGGTGCGAGTCAACCCCTGTGACACGGATTTCTGTGCCGTGTCACCTCCCTAGTTTGAGTACGACTCCCTGGTGGCGGACAAGAAGGAACGTTATCTTGCTGCCGCGTCTAATTTAGGCGAGCAAGCTGTCTACTACCTGTGGCAGAGATACCCTGACATCCCATCCGGAGACGATCCGTACCAGGCCCTCGTAGATTTATTTGAACAATATTTCGGAGGCAAACGGCGCAGAACGTCCCGACTCGCCGCACTCTTTTCTGTGGCACAGAGAGATGGCGAGTCGATCCCCGCGTATCGGCATCGCCTTCAAAAGGAGATGCGCGATTGCCATTTGACAGCGGCGGCGTCGGTGGACAAGATTCTGGACGACGTGTCTGTGCACCTTTTCGCTCGTCGTTTGAAGTCGGCGTGCACCCGCCAGAAAGTATTGGAACAGGGCGAGACGACCCTCGAGAAGGTGGCAGAACAAGCGCAGGCTGTCACCCTGGCTGCAGAAACCATAGGCGAGCAACAGATGAGTGGTGCCGCGGTGGAAACTGTAGCGTATGTGGATCGGTCCAGTCAAAGGAACTTTACAGCACCAGTGAAGTCGACACCTGTTCATGTTGACTTGGCACCAGCACACCGCTTGAGTGAAGCATGTGGCTACTGTGGGCAGCTGCATCCTGCTGGAAAGCGTTATTGTCCCGCAGCCAGGGCGACTTGCAGCCAATGTAAGAAACAGAGACCCATGACGCACAATGTACACAGCACATACATGTACATGACGTCACATTTATAAGTACTGTAAAAGCAGAAATTTTCAGCGCGGGCTATTCCAACCTCCAAGTGCATAGTCACCGATCGATCCATGCGATGGTGGTTGACCTACAAAGAGCCAAGGTCTACGAGTACTACTATTGGATGCTGTCTACGTGCAGTCAACAAAATCAAAGTACCTCAGTATGCCCCAGAATAGGGCGTGTGCATCTATAGCATGACACAACAGGGGTTCTGGCGACACCTGTCAAACAAGCAGTAGCGACTAGTGCCAGCTACCTATTGGAGGCTAGCCACTACAGTATGTCACTGGAGATAATTATTATGTTCACTGTTTAGACTGAGCACAATCAATGATGCCCAATCAATCTGCCCAATGTGTGTTCTGTTCCACCTAATTATAACGTCCCATCGCATCAACCCTACTACACGCACATGTCGTCACTCTAGCACGACTTGTGTTATTATTGTTTATTTTGATTCGCACGATAAATAGAGCACAATAAACGGTAACTTGACCGAAGGTTAAAGGTGACTGCACATAGAGGAACACATCGAGGTACAGGTACCGGCATCAATACAGTATCAGAGAGAAACAAACAAAAATGAGAGGTACGCAGAAAAAACTCTCGTAAGCCCAAGGAGAAGTGGTTGATGAGGGATGAATGCACTCTCCACGCTCATCTACAGCTGCCGGCCTTGCAGTGCTGAAAAGAATGTGCAGTATAGCATGTCACATAGTATCGCAGCCTGGACAAATAGGCGCTGGGAAGTCCTAGTTATGTGCTCACCTACACCACGATGCACCAATCTTCTGAGCTACTTTGGCAACAACTTTGTCCACTTGAGACTCCCATGGGTTGAGCCAGTTGTCGAGGGCTGCACCAAGGTGGACGGCAATGACCGCTGATGGCAATGCAATCCATGACACACAGTCACTAGGGCATCGTCAACATGGCACTGAGGCTGGATCGATAAAATCAACCTTAAGGCTGCCACGGGGTTGACAACGAGGCGGCTGTCTCGAAGCTAGTCAGTCAGCCTGGTCACCGCCATTGACAAACCAGTCGCCACCGCCAGCAGTGGCGGTAGGTTGTGACAAGTGAGGTGCAATATTGTCAGCAAATTCAGTACTCAGGATAAGATGAGTGACAAAGGGAACGTTGTGTTTGATAATATTGAAGTGAACAGGGATGATCACAAACCCTGCGCGTACTCCACCGTGAGTTACAAGAAAATTCCGGACTGGACGACGAGCAAACCCCAACCTGCTACATCCAACCAGGCAGATACTATTACGATAGCTGCCAAACCAGGTCAATGCCGACCTACTGCATAATGTCAATGTCAAACAGATCCTGCAGGAGAAGACTGGGGTGTTGGCGTCCAGTCACTGAGTGTACAGACACCAGTCACATTTCCTGCGTCTTTTGCAGCATACAGGATAGACTCATCACTGTAAAGTCCACTACTTCGTGATTTTTATTTGTAGAATACATGACAGGCGTATTCAGTGTGCCTCGCAGGACTGCGAGATGCTGCAGAAGACCAGGTTCGACCTTTCTGGACCGCCATTCACCGACGGTGGGCTACACGATGCTGGGGGAACTAGATTCCAGTGAAAACCCAAGATTCCTTTGCTCCTGGACGCTCCGACGTGTTGTGATATCTGCCAGGTGCGCAGTAACTAGTATTTTCATCGCTATAGCGAGGACGACGCCGATCGACAAACTCTCGCTCACAGCCATCACCAGCCTCTCAAAACCATCACTTGGCATCCCCCAGAGGTATAAGAGAAAGCCAAATTAGCTCTCAACAAACAAAAGCTAAGGACGATGGAAAGAGAGCATGTCAAAAAGAAGACGAACAGTATGAAGTTCAAATGGTTTTGAACACTCGTACCACCAACTATACCACTTTCAATAAATCGTGACGCCATTTTGTTTTAACATGAATATCGCGGGTTGCAAGTTTTGAGCAGGCTTTTTGTTTGTTTTTCTGCCGGATGATCTGACCCGGCTTGACCCGGCTGGCCTGCATGCGCCAGGTACACTCTGACCGGGCTGTGTTGAATGTCTAGAGCAGGCCCTGCAACCATGCTGCATACTGTGAGTATGACTCGCATGACACAACACAGTGAAAGAAGAATCTGAGTATGAGTGACAACAATCAGGGCAGATTCACTGATGAATATAACAAGAAAACAGTTCTGAACAAATCCTCTCTTTCCTTTTCATTGTGTGCCTTGCAATCATCGTTTCACATTTTACTCATACATGTCGACATTTAGGAAATGCTTACAGTGCAATTAGTCGTCCTTGTTGCTATATTAAAACTGCTGTCTCCGAAACCCTCGTTTATAGATGACTATAAACTGACAATTTGTTGCTTCCGCACACACGCCCACACTCACTCTCACATTCCCGCTCACACTCACTCTCACACACACTCACACTCACCCTCACATGCCTGCTCACTCACACTCTTTTCTGCACAGAACTCACTGTCTCACTCCTCATTGATGATGCTGTCCTCCTCTCTATTCTCATCCGCCTCAACCTCCCTGTCCGGCATGCAGGGGCGTCGCAGACGGTACTGTCACTACGGCATTGACCATACCACTATTTGACCCAAGTACCCCATGAATCAATAAAATGCACTGATTTGGGCTCTAATTTTCCAACATTTTTGGCAAAGCCACCCCTTCCCAACGATTAAATTGTACTTCAGATGGCTGACTGTACCACACTAAATTACCTTCTGACGCCCTTGATGCCTTGAAGAGCCTAAGTGTGTCCTTTTTCTCAGTGTTATTAGCTTTTCTTTGAAGATAGCTAGAGGTCCACACAGAGGCAGTGGGTTTTGTTCTTTTTGTTAGGTGATACTTAGATTAGCTGGTGAAGGGGTGAGTTGTGTGATTTGGTTAGTTGTTTGAAGTGACTATTTCCCACATGGGTGACAGCGATCGTGGCTAGTGTTATGGGTGGGCTGACAGAGTTCTATAATCGGCAGTGTAGGAAGTTGGTTTTTATTCCTGGGTGGTACTGGTGTGGTATTGTTGTCCGTGCCTGTTTTGGAGCATGTGCTCTGTCCGCGCGGGCGATGTGCGAACCGCGCACGGACTGCGCAGATTGCGACCCAGCGAGCATGCGTGCATAGTACGCATTATTGTTGTTCTGTTCATTGCCTTTCCTGAGACTCTCCATTGGTACTAGAATAAACATTCGGTCCCCTGTATGTGGTGTACGCGTGCAGGAGTGAGAGGTACCGGAAGAGCATATCGTCAAGGGAATGAGAGTATACGAATCCCCGACGACAGTATGATTGATAATATGGGTGTTGTCTATTTACGAACCAAACCGACTCTCACCAAGCGTGAGGCAAGATGGGTAGAGTTTTTAGCTGACTATGACTTTACGGTCTTTCACAAACCAGGAAAGAAAAACATTGCTGACCCGCTTTCACGCCGTCCAGATCTGTTCAGTGATTCTGAAATAGGCGGGTCATCCTATCCTCCTAACATTCAGTTGAATGCCATTGAGCATACCCTGGAGATTAATCCAGACATAGCGCAGCTAATTGTGAGCGGTTACAAGTGCTGTATAACAAGAACTGTGTAGCCTGCCAATGAGAAGAGGTTGGCAGGGGACAACCATGTTTCACACAAACATATAACCTCCGGAGAGTAGATGTTGCACATAACAGTGAGTTCCGCTACTTTGTTGACCACTGAGCGGCAGTTGAGGGAAAGGATGGTAAGGGCAGTATGGATGGGAGGATAAAAGGGACGGGCCAGTGGATTCAGTGTTCCAGTAGTGTTGGGGAAGACAAGGTTACTATTCATTGTGAGAGATATTGTCCGGTGGGCTGGTCAGAATAGAAACGCCATTCCCTCACGGTATGACCCATTGTGTTTGGCCAGAAGGTGTGCCGGCTTACAGTATCGGCATCCTTACCCTCGACAGTCACTCTGGCGGAGGCAGTTCGAAAATACTCGGAGGAGTATATTAAGCACTGCACTATTTCAACACCGCGTTCCCTGCACCAGTCTGCTATACTCGCTGCCTCACAACCAAACGGAATATCTCCCAAGTAGAAGACCTTTCGCGGACTGCGGGGTGCAGCATCCAGAGACGGAACTGAACCAGGGACATTCTGGTTCGGTTTGGCGTAACGTGATGATACCTGGCGACGGATGGGATTTCTTTGTGGTGCTTCTTCCTTTGCCTGTTCGCTTGCAGGGAGTCCAACCTCTTCTATTTCAGTAGGGTGGGGTTGGATCCGTGTCATCCTCCTGGCTTGACGGCGCTGATTCCTTGACATGACAGGCTGACAGGATACGTCGTCCTTATCGGCAGTACTGGCACTGCTAGAAGTTTCAGCCATGAGCCCATTTGCTAGAACTTGGGCATATGGTCTAGGAACGTCTGGTGTCTTGGCTAGCTGTCCATTCTCTTTTACTGTTGATGCTTTGTCGCTTTGGAGGGATGACGTATGTGAGCATTGAGCTGCTCCAGCCAGATCCATGGTCTTCTGAGTTCTGCAAGGCTGGACTAACACACCACCGCCAACAACGTTCTCCAACTGATTCACTTTTTCCCGTGTGGATAGTAAATCATTTCGCAAGCTTGTTAGCTCTGCATCTCTGGTTGCTGAAACTGCAGCAAGTTCACGTGTTAGACTGGCGATGCAATCCAGAAGTTTCTCAAGGCAAGGTACCATTGATGGCAGGCACTTCTCACCACAGGCAGGGAATTGGCGTGGCGCCGAACCTGGGGGATAAGTGCCAATACCATTTTCGCGCAGAGTAGCAACCAAGTCTGGGCGTGCTAGGTCACACGAATTAGGTATGTCCTTCTGCTCAGCTAGTTTCTGAAGCTGCGAAAACTCCAGGATTGCCAGGTCAATATTGAGATCTAGCGCCATCACGTGACTGACTCTGAACACCACTCCAGCAGGAAGTGTTCGGGCGTTGGCTAGCGTTGGCTAGCGCCAGCAACGCCTTCACGCCTGGGACCGACCTCGGTAGCGCAGGAGGAAGAAGACACAGCAAGACGAAGCAAACAATGGCCACCGAAAAGCCAAGCCAGCCTCTTTCACGCTGCAATAACGAGGGAAGGAAATAATCCACAGCAATGGCGTGTCCACAACTGGCCGGGTAGTGGTCCACGAAGCCAATATCCAAAACTTCAAATCAAACTTCAAATCAAAATCGGCTCTCAATCTGCAGAGAGACACCTCCAATCCAGAGCGATAAAATCTCTAACCGGTCACTTCGGAAGCATTAGAATATTTACGGAACTTTACGCTACTTGTTTCTTTTTTTTCGTGCTTGTCACTATACTTCCTTGTCCTGCAGTATCAGCATCCTAAAAAATCCGAATATTACACCTGACAAAATGTTTCTGTATAGGGAAACAATGATTGCAAATGTAATGGCCTTCTTACGTTTGCATTGTCCAACGTCTGTCCAATCAGTACTGAGCGTTGTAGTTCTGTCATCACAAATTGCTGTTACCGAAGTAGCTGTTTGTACAAATCCAGTTGTGCAACTGACGGTACCATTTGCTGCAATACTGGCATTGGCTGTATCAGGTGTAGTACAAGCTAAGCCGCACAAACAAAAGCAAGCAATCAGATACGAAAAAGATGAAGACTGCGCACCACTTTTAATTGACTTCTTTTTATGTTCTTTCAGTCAAACCGTGGTCCATGACCAATTGGCACACAAAGTGCGAGAGAGGGGTGATAGCCAACCATGGCAAGAAAACAAGAAAGAAAGTGCAGTTTCTCAGCTAGACATGTGGGTTCGGTTTATTCTGGGGGTGAAATGAGTGTATCATTATTTTAAAGCTGTCGAGCGGGACTCAAACTATCCAGCGAGCTATCGAGTAATTCAGTACTCGATACACAATACTGAGTCGATAGTAATTAATTCCTTTTCAAGACAAAGTACAGTAGCCATACATGTACTGGCAGTTACAATCTCTTTGCCTCATCTTCAAGGCTGGCATAAACAGAAGAGTAACGAGCTCGTAAGCTGTGTTCTCTCCCTTATTTTCACTTCCCATGTAAAACTGACACCATCCGTACCATGTATCACTAATATCAAGCAACGCTACCTGCCTGGATATAAGTTTGTGGTCAGATGATGTACATATTATCAGTTCTCTGAGGATTGCCTTAGCTTTGCTATGCGCACAGTACTGTCTATCAGCTGGATCTCTTTTGCGTACTGCGGCTTCTGATTTTCCATATTTTGCAGTGTTTTTGCATACTGCCGATGTACTGCCATGTGCATTGCTTGTATTGTTTTGTTTTTGACACGCAAATGCTTGTCGGTGGCTGGATTTGCTTGCGCAAAACATGTGGGACTTGCACCACGACGTGATATTTTGTGCTGCGCGTACTCGAAGCATGGCATGCACTCGCTTTGGCACAGGGATATCCATCGCTCAGCTTGAGCTTGCCATGCTTCTACATACTTATCTGTAGCTGATCGATCCCCTTCAATTTTCCGCATTTTGCTCAAATTCCGTACTGCAGACGGAGGAGTTTTCCGTACAAATGCGGAAAAATACGGAAGGTTGGCAGCACTGTGTGCATGAAACGCAGCGCTACAACAATGACCTTTTGGCCATTTCAATAAAGATTAGCAATCAGGTTTTGTGGTCTTAAAAACTATGAAGATAAGGGAAATCCGGACAACTAAGTTGAGCTTATCAGAGCATGGCAAATTTTGCTGTAAAGGTTTCGGAACAATTGGAACTGCTGTTTTAAGGAGGTTCCAACCGTCTGCGCTGCACAACCGATCTCGCGCTCTGTTTTTCCCGGGCAAAAGTCTTGTTTTTGCCAATAAGTGCCATAAGTTGGGAAATTCCCATCTCAACTTACTAAAATTTGAACTCGGCGATCGACAGCCATTTCAAAGAATATTGCTTCATACTACACCTGTAGTCTTCCCTGGGCCCCATCGAGGTTCCTGATGTTCTCTCTTCCTTTTTTTGTCAGTGGGTATAGCAGGGCATGTTTTCAAAAAGCATCGCTGGTATGAGCAAGAAGTTGACTTCACAGCCCGATTTCTCGAGATCCTGAATATTTTGCTTCAGGAAGAAATGAACAAGGAGAACAGAGCCAAGCGGCTCGATAGCTGTGTAACAGACCAACACCTACTGTAAGCGCGTTTTGGAGAGAGAGACTGAAGTGGGTGCACAGACTCTGATAAGTGGATCTACTTCTAATTATCAAGTGGCAAAATATATTGCTACGCTGAAAACATTCCTGAATCGGCACAGTCACATTCACTGCACCCATGGATTCTGAGAGAATATTCATTATTCGTTTGTTATGGGTGAGTATTCGTTCGTTTGTGAAATCGAATATTCGTTGCAGCCCTACTAAGAATGCCAGGAAACATGGCCTCGTCTAGTCTTCAGGTGTACTATAACACTCTGGGGGACCATGCAATGCTTTTGGCACAAAAAATTAGAGTAATACCACAAGGAATGCATGGAACCCATCAGCTTAAGTGAAAAATAGCAATCGTCAGGCGATATTACTGGTCAGTCGGCGACACGCATTTTTCACAAAAATTTGCGTTTCAACTGCTGGGAGAGTATGCGTGTACTCGAGTCTCATCCTGAGCACGTTTTTTTCTTCTTTTTTTCAGCTCCAGTATAGCTGTATTTTTCATTGCAAAGCCGTCCTCGATTGTTGTGTTCGTTGTTCAAACGAAGTGGACATTCAATCATGAAGGCAGAGGACATAGGAGCCTGATTGGAGTTTCTCGTGGCATAGGACAGCCACACAGAGACACTTTGGGATTTTCTGAATATAAAATACCGTACGCACGATGCTGAGATCCGGCAATTTGTGCGATATCAAATTGTTTGTGATCTACCACATCGAGCAGAACGGGATCCATACACAAGCTTACCGACGGTTAGGCTGCCGACCTGACTGGACAAATGATCCCTGGCTTCACCAGACGCCAGAAGTCGGACACCATGTCCTTTGCCGCGACGTCCATCTTCAAAAACAACTCTGTATGTGTTTGTGCATATATCTATAGGTGTGTGTATATGCGTGTGTGCGTGTGTTTGTGCATGTGCGAGTTAGGATGTTGTGGGTGGGTGGGTGGGTGGTTGTGTGTGCGTGCGCCTGTGTGCAAGTTAGGGTGTTGTGGGTGGGTGTATGTGTGTGTGTTAGTGTGTGCGTGTATGTGTGTATGTGTGTGGGTGTTACTAAATGTGTGCGTGTTAGTGTTAGTGTGTGTGTGTGTGGGTGTGGTGTGTGAGATTAAGCGCGTGCTTGTTAGCGCTAGACCTGCGCCTGCTGCATCTGCCTCTGAAATAGCCTGTTCTTGTATACATTCACGCGATTACTCCTCTCGCTATCGTATTATCACACCTCTCTCCACTTAGATATACCAGCGCTGCCTCCTATTCCATTATCGTTGTCTGATGATTGGTTCAGCCATGAAACTCTGAGTCACAACGGAATTAATTTGCCAAGGTTTTTCATTGTGTGGCTTTGTGTACGCCGCTCTGCCTGAATCAGGCATTGAGTACTCTTGCAGAACCAAAGCATATTGCCTCTGTATTTTTCTGAGTACTAGTAACAATGCTGATTGCCAGATTTTCTTGCAAAAATGCTTCATTGTGATGTATGAAAGAACTTGCAATCACCTGGAGAAGCCAGGAGACTGGTAAATTTGAAAAATGACCCCAAACCAGGCATTTTTGGGGCTTAACCCTTTAAGAGCCGCCCCATACTTGAATGCGTCGTAAACGACGCATTCAAATGCAAAACTTCAAAAGATCGTAAGTCAGTCCAATCTTGCTGAAATCCAGTCATCAAAATATCCAGGGCGAAGAGAAAACTCTCACCTGTTGGGAGAAGCAATCCGCAAAGCGCTGCGAACAACGGTTCCTGAGATAAATCACTCGTAAGTTGAGCCGCGATTGCGGCAATTTCAAAAGCGCGCAGTGCGACTTTAGTATTGAGAATTTTGAGACTTTTCATCATGCTGGTTTACTCGAATTTGCACGGGTTTCACTGTTGATATTGTCAAGAGTACACAGCGAAAAAATTGGAACTCCACGATCGAGTAAAATGAAATATCTGGAGCGGGACGCAATTGGACGCATTTGGGGCATTTTTCGTACTGTCGCTGCGATCTAGCGCTGGATAGACGGTGTGCTGGCTATCATGATCGACCTCATTCTCTTCCTCTCGCGGAGACCGTTCCAGGAAGCCCTAGATTGTGAGAATTGAGTGAGTAGAACTGAAGCTATGATCCAAGGAACACGAAAAAATGCAGAATTTTGAAAATTTCCTGTGGCTCTTAAAGGGAAGTATACCCTAAAATCAAATTTTTCACTAGTTGTAGTCTTCGTGGTGCTGAGTCGAATGGTCTTGGTCCGAGGACGCTGAGACGCTCCCTTCCTCCTTTATTCCCAATCGAACTCGCGCACTTCCACCGAAACTGGGTGACTGCGCCCTACTAGATAGGGATTTGTATGGAAAAAGTCACTAAAACGGCGTTTCGTTCTTATAAAAGCACGGATGACCGCGATTGGTCCATATGTTGTATTCTTGTGGCCGCTGAGTCGACTGGTTTTGGTCCGAAAAGGCTGCGATGGAGCGTTCGGACCTTATTCCCAATCGAACACGGTTGAGTGAGCGGTCACGTGCCTGCAGAGTACATTTTTCACATCAAGATTGAACTCAAAGGTTCAAAGTAGGGAGTCGTAAGAGGCTTTTACGACTCCCTGGTTCAAAGGTTCAACTCGAGTGACATAAACGGGCCCAAACAGGCTGTAAATGAGCACGTGACCGCTTACTCAACCGCGTTCGATTGGGAATAAGGGCCGAATGCTGCATCGCAGCCTTTTCGGACCAAAACCAGTCGACTCAGCGGCCAAAAGACTACAACATATGGACCAATCAGGGTCATCCGCGCTTTTATAAGAACGAAACAGCGTTTTTAGTGACTTTTTCTATACAAATCCCTATCTAGTAGGGCGCAGTCACCCAGTTTCGGTGGAAGTGCGCGAGTTCGATTGGGAATAAAGGAGGAAGGGAGCATCTCAGCTTCCTCGGACCAAGACCATTCGACTCAGCACCCCGAAGACTACAACTGGTGAAAATTTGATTTTAGAGTATACTTCCCCTTTAAATTGTTTGCAGGCAACCTGCCTACACTCAAGAGAGCACTGCATTTCACACAAATCCATTGGTATCGTTACAACGTTTCGGTCTTTATGACCATCATCAGGAATGAAGTGGACATGGAAAGAACAGCAGTATAAAAGAAGGAGGCAAGCAAGCAAAGCGCGGTACATAGTGACAGCGCGCGTAGAGAAGTGCAAAGCACGTCATGGCGGGTGTGCATTATACATGACAACACAAGCACAAACGGCAAGGAAAGTAGATACTGCGCTACAGCAGTGATAACAGCCCAGTTCCAGTCTCACACCACCAGTGAGGTGTGTAGAGCCCCGCGCCACTTGCAGTAAGGTGGTGTTATAGCAGATCCCAGCCACTGTTGTTGTTAATTTCCGGGGATCGCTCCCTGATGTTGATGGCCTCCCGGATCCTCCTCC